TTCCATTGTTTATTTTTATTATTTTATTCCTTTACTGTTGTTATTTTTTCACATTTCCCCCCATTTTATTGCTGGAAGCTGCCAGAGTAGCCTCTAGGCTAGATTTATGTACGTACAGTAGTGGCCAAAATTGTGGAAACCTTTTGGGAAAAGTGTACAGTAGAAATGCCACCTTTGGTTAAGTTTCCACCAATTTTTCTTCTAATTTCTTTGTAACTGTAGCCTTGTTCACTTAATAATTCTATTTTACATTGGTTTCTGGGCAACCAGTCAACTCTTTGTACCATTACTTTAATTTTATTAAGTTTTACAAGCTCACTAAATGAAAGAACACAAAAAACCCCCAACCAACCGGATAGCGATCACATAACACACTGACAAATGTCCTCCTCTCAGCTTCAATACATGACATCAATCACTGAATCCTACTGTGATCTGATTGGCTCATGGCCAAAACAAGATGACACCTGATTGGCTCTCTAAACACTCCTGCTCATTGGCTACAATCAGATGAAGGAAACCTACCTGATATCAACCTAAGTAAATTGTGCTTCCTTTTTTTGATTATTTGGCTATAACGTTTCATAGAATACAGCACAGATAATTGAACAAACTTTGTTGCATTACATTCTTGATTAAATTATCTTTCCATTGATATATAATTTTATGGTACTACTCCAAAAGAAGTGGTGTTATTAGCCATCAAACCTCAAAAATACATTTTCCCAAAAAAGTTTCCACAATTTTGACCACTACTGTATGTATGTATGTATGTATGTATGTATGTATGTATGTATGTATGTGTTTATTCATTCATTCATTCATTCATTCATAAAATTTATCGGTCACCCATCTTACTCTATGCTAACTCCGGGTGGCTTATAGTTACATCTAAGCTAAAACATAAAAAGTTAGAATCAACTCTTAAAACCAAAGACCCATGGGGAGGCCAGGGGTGAAGTGGGGGTCGGTGGGATCTGTTATTATTTGATCAACCACCTCCATTGGGCTGTCCCCCCACTGGGGGCCCAAGCCGACTGGCAGAACTATGTCTTTAGGCCCTTACGAAAAGATACGAGGGTTGAGGCCAATCTTGCATCGGGGGAGGGGGAGCAAGATGTTCCAGAAGACAGGAGCAACAGGAGAGAAGGCCCACCTCCTGGACCCCACCAGTGGGGTGAGACGGTCCATCAACCCTAGCCTGGACCATGCCATGAAGGGCTTTCAAAGTGATCACCAACACCTTGGATTGCACCGGGAAGCAGACTGGCGCAGCCCGTGGAGCAGCGGTGTAGCAGGAGCCCTTTCTTGGGGGTCCCAAAACCACGGGTGCCTATGCACTCTGCACCAGTTGTTGCTTCTGAATGCTCTTCAAGAATAGCCCCATGTAGAGTGTTTTACAGTAGTCCAGTCGTAGGATGACTCGGGATGGAATGATTGAGCGCAGGGAGTCCTGGTCCAGGAAAGGAGGATGGGAAGCCAATAATTTTTCAGAACAAACCAACAAACTCATCTCAGCCAGAACTGAGGTTTTTTTTTATCAGGCTCACCCCCAGCTAATGTAGTCCTGCTAGGATCTAGGAAGAGTGCAATAAATTAAGCTGATTAATGGACCTACTGTGGTCAGCAGTTCCCTGCTTCATGAATCTGTTGGCTGTTCCAGCTCTAATGTGGTTTCTCCCCCACCAAATATATAGTTTCTTAAATCCTCCAACAGCATTGCTGACAAGTATCTGTCAGATTGTAAATCCATGAATGCTACTTGGTAACACAGGCAGAACTCCAGATTTCTTTAACCAGCAGCATAGATTATAAAGAGGAAAAAAGGATTAGAAATTTGTCTGTATTTCCTCACCAGCAGCTTCGTAAATACCCAGCAGATCCCATAAACCGAGGTGGAAAACACTAACTCTACAAAATCAATCTGTCTGATCCAGCTGTGACTAAGAACTGTTTCATGATTCTTGTATACAATCCCCTGGAAGTAAGTTAATAACGCCCTCTCACCCCTTTATTCTTTCTATTTGTAAAAGAACCTAACAATTTAGTGCGTAATACCTATATTAAAAAAAAAAACACAAATTCCGTGTTAAGCATTATTAGAAAGGGATTGAAATTAAATCTCCCCATACTTTCATGTCCTTACGTATATTTGTACATGGGATCTTGGAGACGGATGTCTTATGCCAGTGGTGGCAAACCTCTGGCATGCGTGCCAGAGGCGGCACTCAGAGCCCTCTCTGTGGGTGCACGTGCCACTGCCCCAGCCTTGCCTCCTCCTGTGACCCCCCTCCTCACCAGCAGCCCCCCTGGAGAAGAGTTGCCCCGAGCGTGGCCCGCGCGGAGCAGTGCAGCCAAGGATATGGCAGCCAGGCAGCGTAGACAAGACTCTGCCCTCACACCCCATCTCTGCGCGGGGTGCGGGCGGAGGGCGTGGCCGCCATGGTGCTGCTGGGCTGCCTGGGCGATCTGTGGCGAGACCTGGAGGTGGTGAGTGGCCCTGCGGGCAGGCGGGGTGGGGGTGGGACAGGGGGTGGAGCAGGGGTGGGGCCAGTTTTTGGGCAGTCGGTCTCTAAAAGATTTGCCATCACTATCTTATGCCATAATTGGGGGGTAATAATGTAATAATGTTGGAAAGAGTGCAGAGAGCGATCCAAACGATCCAGAGCCTCAAACTCTTTCCTTACTAGGAAAAAAATAGGATGTTTGAAATCCCTTACCCTGGATAAAAACACATATAAAATCATGACTGTCGCTGAACAAGCGAACCCTAGGACTAAAAGGCCTCTCAAGAAATTGATTAGAATTGTGGGAAGAAAAATCGGGTCCAGTTCCAAGCCGGGAGAAAGACACTGAAAAATAAAATGGAGGCTAGCTGCTCAGGAAAGAAGGTCTCTGTTTATTGATAAGCAGAACCAACAACCGCATGCAGTTCTGGGACAGCTGACAAAATGGAGTTGAGAGTAGGTGGGTTTTTATACATTCATTGGGGCTTTGTGATTGGGATGCCTGTTTGTTGTGAAATGTACTTTGACCTGTGCTTGATTGTGCCCTTTTAGTATTCTAATTATATAGTCAAGGCCAGGGTTTTCCCAGTGGCAATGTATGGCTATGAAAGTTGGACCATAAAAAAGGCTGAGCGCCAAAGAATGGAGGCCTTTGAACTATGGTGCTGGAGAAGACTCCTGCAAGTCCCCTGGATTGCAAGGCGATCAAACTGATCAGTCCTAGAGGAGATCAATGCTGACTACTCTTTAGAAGGCCAGATCCTGAAGTTGAAACTCAAGTACTTTGGCCACCTAATGAGAAGGAAGGACTCACTGGAGAAGGGCCTAATGCTGAGAAAGATTGAGGGCAAGAGAAGAAGGGGACGACAGAGAATGAGGTGGCTGGATGGAGTCACTGAAGCAGTAGGCGCGAGCTTAAAGGGATTCCAGAAGATGGTAGAGGACAGGAAGGCCTGGAGGAATGTTGTCCATGGGGTCGCGATGGGTCGGACATGACTTTGCAATTAACAACAACAACAATTATTGTTGCCTGACTCCCATTGTGGCTGGGAGGTCAGGCCCTGTCCTTGGAGCTGGGCAGGGAATGTAGATTTTAGGAGTCTTTGTTTTTCTAATCCCATCAGCTCCAGCCTTCTGTAGTTGTGGCTGAAGGTGTTTTGTTTATGAATAAGGTGACCGAGTCTTTTTGAATGGATTACAAAATCTCCATTCCTAAAGATTAGCCTCTTCAGGTTTCTGCTTGAGGCTGTTTTCTTATAGCCGGAAGACTGGAGCCCCTTTCTGTGTTTAAGAAATATGTTTCTCCTCATCTCCTTTAGGGGAAATGTAATATTTTGCTTCTTTTAATATTCCCCAAAATATTTCATTCTCAGACGTGGGGGGGAGGGCTTTCCACAGAATGATATTTAAACCATAGGAAACCAAGTAAAGGCAGTCCTCAACTTAACAACCATTCACTGTTACAGTGGCACTGAAAAAAGGGACTAAGAACTAGTCCTTGTACTTAGAACCGTTGCAACATCCCCACCATCAGGTGATCAAAATTTAGGTTTGATCTAAATTTATGATAGTTGCAGCATCCCGAGGTCATCTGAACTCTATTTGCGACCCTCCCAGTCAAACTTCCAACAAACAAAGTTAATGGGGAAGCCAGATTCGCTTAATGACTGCACGATTGGCTTAACAATAGCAGTCATTTGTTGAACAACCATGGCAAAAAAAGGTTGTAAAAACAGATGTGACTCACTTAACAATCACCTTGCTTAGCAACGGAAACCCGAGTCCCAACTGTGATCGTAAGTTGAGGATTGCCTGTACTTTACACAGTGCACCATTCAGTCGGTGGGACTCCTCGTCGAAAGGGTGGCACAGCGTCACATAGATTATAGCAGACATGTCAAACACAAGGCCTGGGGGCCGGATGCGGCCCGCGAAGTGGTTTCATGTGGCCTGCGAAGCCATCCTGGAAACAGTGAGGGAACGGCCCCCACTGCCTTGGCCCTGGCCCAGGCCAGCCGGGAGCCAATGTACAATTTTGTGGTGGCCATCTATGCTGAAACGCATTCAGTCTTAGCTCCACAAGGCCCTCTGGAAACAGCGAGGCACCAGCCCCTGCCGCCCCCTGGGTGCATGCTGGGGAGGTGTCACCCTTTGTGAGGAATGAAGAAATGGACCAGCCTTGGCGCTTGCCCCGGTCCCACTCCCTTCTGCCAGAGACCCTCAGATCTCTCCCACTCCTGCCCAGGTCCCCACAGGCACCCTTGATGCAAATGATGTAGAGCTGGCCATGTCCACCCAGTAGGCCACACCCACTCCATCCACACCCACCCAGTAGGCCACACCCACTCTATCCATGCCCACCCAGTAGGCCACACCCACCCTGGCCACACACCCCCGCCCCCCCGAGGGCAACCGCAATGCTGATGCGGCCCTGAATGAAATTGAGTTTGACACCCCTGGATTATAGGGTTAGAAAATGAAAGCACAAATTACCTGAGTCTTCCATCCTCTGCGGCAGCTCCTCCTGGTATTATCTTAGTAATAAATATTCCAGGATCGTCCCCGATATGTGGGTTATCTGTTCCTCCAGCAATACTGAACCCCAGGCCAGAATTACCCTAAAGAAAAGAGAAGGAGAACACAACTGTTGCAGAAAGAGTAGCCTTGACTACACAAGTGTAACAGAGTAATAGTTGGAAGGGAGGGACCTTGGAGGTCTTTTAGTCTGACCCCCTGCTCAAGAAGGAGACCCTGTACCATTCTGGACAAATGGCTGCCCAGTCTCTTCTTGAAGACCTCCAGTGATGGAGCACCCACAACTTCTGAAGACAAGCCGTTCCACTCATTATTTGTTCTCGCTATCAGGCAATTTCTAGATTAGTTCTAGATTGGATCTCTCTTTAATGATCTTCCACCCGTTACTTCTTGTCCTGCCCTCAGGTGCTTTGGAGAAAAGGTTGACTCCCTCTTCTCTGGGACAATCCCTCAAATATTGGAAGGCTGCTATCACATCACCCCTAATCCTTCTCTTTGTTAGACTAAACCTATCTAGTCCCCTTAACAGAATAACAGAATTTGAAGGGACCTTGGAGGTCTTCTAGTCCAACACCCTGCACAAGCAGGAGACCCTATACCATTTCAGGCAAATGGGTGTCCAATCTCTTCTTAAAAACCTCCAGTGATGGAGCACCCATGACTTCCGAAGGCAAGCTGTTCCGCTGATTAATTATTATTTCTCTTTAGTTCTAAGTTGGACATTTCTTTAATGTTCTTCTGCCCATAACTTCTTGTCCTGCCCTCACTGTGTGTTTGTGTGTGTGTGTGTGATGGTCTAATCCACGGGTCAGCAACCCGTGGCTCCGGAGCCGCATGTGGCTCTTTGAGCCTTCTCCTGTGGCTCCCAGCCTCCTCCGCCATTTGCAGAGAGACAGAGACAGAGAGAGGCACTTTCGCTTTCCTTCTCTCTCTCTCTCTCTCTCTCTCTCTCTCTCTCTCTCTCTCTCTCTCTCTCTCTCTGTGTGTGTGTGTGTGTGTGTGTGTGTGTGTGAAAAAGAGTGGCCTCACGCTGTTTTGGACAAACTGACAAGCTTATTGGGCGGGGCTCCTGTTTTTGCTGCGTCTCAGCAGAAAGCAGGAAGCAGCAGCTGTCTCTCACACACACACACTGAGTGGGGGAAGAGGACTAGCAGACCAAGGGCAGGAGAGAGCCAGCCCAATAAGAATGTGTGTCAGCTTGTCGGAGAACAGCGTGAGGCCAGCTGGCCAGGTGAGCAGAAGATCAGAGAGAGGGGGAGAAAGAGGAAGGGAGACAAAGGGAGAGAGGGAGAAAGAGAGAGAGAGAGAGAACTCATGCACAGGAGCCTCTATTTCTTTTTAATTAAACTCTTCAAGCTCCCCCCCCCTTGTGTGCACCCGTTTTGCGGCTCCCAGTGTTTTCTTTTCTCTGGGAAATGGGTCCAAGTGGCTCTTTGAGTGTTTAAGGTTGCCGACCCCTGGTCTAATCATTCAAAACACCATTAATAAAGCTTTTGGCTGCTTAGACTAAACTTTCAAGGAATATTTGGTCTTGCAATCCAAGACTCAAAAAGTTTTACAACGAAAAGCAGATTAGATCCCCAGATGGTTAAATGCTGTCTATTGATTCATTTCCCATTTGCTAAAGAGCCAGGCTGCCTCAGTCCAAAGCCTTTTAGAGTGTCGTACTTTAATAACCCAAGTTTAGCTTATTGTTGCAAAATAGCTCTTCCCTTTATGAAGAAAAACTGGACAGGAGTCCAGCTGCTCTTCACACCATACTCTAAAAAGCATCTTAAAGATAATCAGAGCTCCAGTGGTTTGCTAAATTGCTTTGGCTACAAAAGTTCTTGTAAGACACACACTGAGAATACCACCGTGACAAAACAACAATCAGTGTTATTTTGGGGCTGACGATTTCTGGATTCCTCTACCTGTATGAATTCTGGAATGGGTATTGGAATAAGGAATGATAAGCCCCCAAAGAGTTGATCAAAAATTTTATTTCTGCTTTGTGCTTTCCTCTTTGGGCTCAATGTGTCAAAAATTCAGAAAAAGCCTAACTTGACAGTTCTGGTGTGTCTCACCCCCTCTCCCCATCAAAAAAAGAAACAATTCTTTATATATTCATTTATTCTTAAAAAAAAAAAAAAAACTGAGGCAACGCCAGGTTGCACAAGGCCTTCGTTGTTTTTTCTTAGATTTTTTTTTATTTATTTCCAAAGTTGAAGTACAGAATCGAAGTGCCAGGAAGAAGAATACAAAACAAAAGCAAAGGAAAAAGTGTATAGAACAAAATATTAAACTTACACATAAAATGTTCTCTCCCCCCCCCCCCCCGGTTGAATACTGATAAATATATTTCTGCAATAATAATTATCCTCCGCTGGCAAAACAGCTCCACAACTTATGAACGTCTACATCTATATTTGCAAAATTCCTCTATAACATTAAAAAAAAATGTCACAGATGTAGACCTCTAATATCAGTCAATCGATTTGACCTACTATTCGTCTACTATTAAAAAAAAAAACCAGTTACAGGTAATCCTCAACTTACAATCTTCCATTTAGTGACCATTTGAATTTATAACGGCAGTGAAAAAAGTGACTTAGGAATGTCTTTCACACTTATGACCGTTGCAGCGTCCCCATGGTCACGTGATCAAAATTCAGATGCTTGGCCACTGGCTTGTACTTCTGACGGGTTGCAGTGTCCCGGGGGTTGTGTGATTCCCCTTTTGTGACCTGACAAGAAATGTCATTGGGGAAGCCAGATTCGCTTAACAGCTGTGTTCCTAAACTTAACAACTGATGTGATTCGCTTAACAACTATGGCAAAAAAGATTGTAAAATGGGGCAAAATTCGCTTAACAACTGTCTCACTGGACAGAAATTTTGGCCCCAGTTGTGATGGTAAGTCTAGGACAGGGGTAGGCAACCTTGGCTCTTTTATGACTCGTGGACTTCAACTCCCAGAATTCCTGAGCCAGCATGGCTCAGCTTGGAAACCTCTCCCTTTCCCCTCAGCATGGCTGGCTCAGGAATTCTGGGAGTTGAAGTCCACGAGTCATAAAAGAGCCACGGTTGCCTACCCCGGGACTAGGACTACCTTTATCTTATTATAATTCTGTCCCGCTTTCAGTTACTTGATGTATACTCGTGGTGGAAGCACAGAACAAGAGGAAGAGGAGATCGTGTTTGTAGCAAACAGAGGTCTTAAAAAATGGATCATGTCAAGTTCAAAGAAATTACCCAGAATGATGTGTCAGCAACACACTGAAGGCTCTTTGGATTCGACCCAACTGGAAGCCGACACACAAAAGGAAGGGTCAGCACCTTTGCGTGTTCTCTGAAGTCCCGAAAATTGCTAGTAATTAATTGTCTTGTAATCCTTGACCTGATCAACAGTCAGCAAGATCCTTGCCCTGGGGTTCTGCCGTTATTGAGTACATCTTCTTCTTGAACGGTAATTTGAGGGCACATGAAGACACAAAAGGGCAGTGTGTGGGTAAAAGATTAGTTGTGTGCTTCTGTTCTCCTGGGGAAATGTAAAAGTCTAACCCGGGGTTTTGAAAAAAGGCACGGTAAAGGTTTTTGTCATCGTTCACAGAATAACATATCCTCAAAGGAAGGTTAGGAGCTTTGAAAATGGGATTGAAATTAGCTCCTAATGAGAGTGACATCTTTTTGGGCAAGGCTTCAAAGCAATCTCTACAAGGGATTTGTGTGTGTGTGTGTGTGTGTGTGTTTATACAATACCAGGAAAGTGCCTTTTTTTTATAAGAGCATCGGGCAAACCAATATGCCACCACAGCCAACATTATACAAGTAGTCCTTGACTTATGACCGTAATGGAGCCTATCCATTACGGTCGGATATTATAACCAGTGCTTTTTTTGTAAAAAACGAAAAAGGTGCCGGAACTCACACACGTCATACAACCCGCCTTGCCTACCCTACAAGGTTCCATCCAAAAAAGGTGCCGGAACTCCGTTCTGGGCGTCCTATGAGAAAAAAAGCCCTGATTATAACGATTATGACCTTTCTTGCCACGGTTGTTAAGTGAATCACTACAGTTGTTAAATTAGTAACAACTCGCCTCAAGATGGCGCCACCGATGTCAGGGTCAGTGAAATGCTCTGTTGTAATTTTGAGGTTTTCTATTATTTTCGGTGACTCTCTGAGAATGATTATGATCACGATTTATCATTTTGTTACTTGTATGTATGCTGAGAGCTTCTGCACCGGAGACAAATTCCTTGGGTGTCCAATCACTCTTGGACAATAAAGAATATTCTATTCTATTCTATTCTATTCTATTCTATTCTATTCTATTCTATTCTATTCTATATTCTGTATTCTGTATTCTGTATTCTATATTCTATATTCTATATTCTATTCTATATTCTATATTCTATATTCTATATTCTATATTCTATATTCTATTCTATATTCTATTCTATTCTAATTCTATATTCTATATTATTCTATATTTTCTATTTTCTATTTTCTATTCTATTCTATTCTATTCTGTTCTGTTCTGTTCTGTTCTGTTCTGTTCTGTTCTGTTCTGTTCTGTTCTATTCCATTCCATTCCATTCCGTCCCAATTTAAAAGAACGACAAAACAGTGTCATTTGATGGATCACCAGAAGCCTGCCTTCTCTGTAATGGTGCCTGCTATATTTCTCCCTCCTGAAATATGGACAGCATCTACAACAGAGATAGTCCTCGACTTACAACCGGGAATTGAGCCTGCAATTTTATGCTTGATTTTATGACTTTTTTTGTTGCCGTCATTAAGCGAATGACATGGTCATTAAGCGAACCTATTGTAAATGCCAGCTCAGAGCAAAAATGTCATAAACTGTGGTCATGTGGCTGCGGGATGCTGCCAACGGCCATAAATAGGGGCTGACTGCCAGGGCCCCTTTTCAACGTCCATCATAACATTGAAAGGTTGCGGAGTGACGCGTCGTAAGTCGAGGACTGCCTGTATTGAGATCTCGTGCGTATTGCCAAACCCGCTTTTGCTGCAATAAGAAAATGGCAGGAACGGCCGAGCCAAACGATACGCACTCATATGCCGAGCAGTAGCTGACT